AGGGTCAAATTGATATCTGGATCAGCATGCCAGACAGTCACGAGTTCAACATTGAAGCCACGTGGATTCCCTTTACTAGTGGTCGTGTGCGCAGAGGCATCGAGCATGGCGTGCCCTACTCGTACGATGACTCGACAAAATATGTGACCGTCACGGATACGAGCAAGCTGCAGGATCTGATCACCAAAATAGATGCTCCCCTGAAGGCCTCTGATCTCGCTCGTCTACGTTATGATGGCACGAGATTGTTTGTCGTTGCTCTCAAGAACTTCCCCCTGGGTCGATGTTCGCCCAGGTCAGTGACCCAGTTCTCGCTGAGATCTGTGAGAATCTCATAGCAAGACTCAGGCAGGCATCAGTGCAAGGTCTTCCGAGCACTGCTCCTTGTAGAACTCTCGTTATTATCACTATTTCAAGTTCGATTTTTTTCCAGCGATCTCTCTTTCGCTACGTTTTTTCTCCGATGAGTTCAGGAATCCTGAATCAGGATGAGCGGTTGATAATTTCGCATTACCTGGTCTACTAGATTGAGTACGGTAATGAGATCCTCAACTCAAGCTTGTCCATGGAGTATCGAGTCCAGATATCGATACAGCGACTATTTGAAGTTCAATCTTTGTTTTGTTGGTCAAGTCCGAACACGATACCTGCTTGACTCTCTTGTACCAAAAACAAGGCAAGAAGGAATTCTCGTACATAAATCAGACTTACCGAAACACAGACAGCTTCAGGGGTCGCTACGGATAGATATTTACGACACTGAAGTTGATAGCTGTTTTGAGAATCATGGCCATGAGACCAATAACCCCACCTAGCTCAGGAACGGTTTATCTATACCGCCATGAGGGGCTTTTGCTGCCATAGGGGATTGTAGAGTCGTCGCGATTACGTCACTCACCATCATCTGAAACCGCTCGAAAGGGTTCATATTCTACTACTTGGTACTCGTCTGGTATGGAAACATGATGTAAACACCAGTGATTCTACACTCTCAAGAAAGCGATGGGCATGAAGAATGATAACAGAAGTGCACCGGGGACAGAATTGCGGAGCGAGCGGAGCATATACCGTAACAACAGGCACTTTCGCGTTGTGCGTGC